CTCCCCCAGACCTGGCCCTGCCCATCTCCAGGCCCCATATCAGGAAAAAAGATGCAGGGTCCCCAGGCTGGACTGGGGAAGTGTCTGCCCTGGGGGACCAGGTGACCAGGGAGGAGGTACAGAGGTGCCACAGCACACTGACCACCTGCGGTTTGCAGGTCAGACCCCCAGGTGGGTTTGTCTGGGCTGAAACCAGGAGAGGACGGGCCACACTCCTCCAAAGACCCCAAAGAACCCATCCCCCTCTGGTCCAGCTCCAAGGCCACCCAGCCCTGGGCACCGGCTCCTTCCTGGCACTCAAAGGCAGTGACCCCAGACTGACCCCTCCACCCCCTCTTTACCTGAAGGGACCCTGAGGTCACTTTGCTCCCAATTCAAGGTGAGGGACCACCTTAACTCCACCTGTGACCTTGCCGTGGACTCTGTGTGTCCCCTGGGGTCCCCAGGCTGGGAGCCGGGGAAGGGATGAGTGGCCTTATGAGAGGAAAGCGCCACCCTGTCCTCCTCAGTCATAGCCCCAGACAGCCCCCGCACCCCCAGCCCCAGCTCCGGGCAGGAAGGGGGTCCTCGGCAGACACCAGCCCCGCCTCACCTTGATCTTCCAGCCTCTGGAGCCATGAGAAATAAAAGTCCCTGGTTTACGACGCGGTGGGGTCTCGGGCGTTGTGTTACAGCAGCGGAACGCGACCAAGACCAACCTTCCTTCTGCCTGTTACATGTTCTAAGGACAAGGACAAGGACCTGTGCATACCTGGGAGGGGTGCTGGGTCAGAGAGACCCCCGAGCCACAGACGTTGTACACGGAGGGTGTGTGCGGGTGTGCGTGTGCATGTGTGTGTGCACATGTGCGTGTGCACGTGTGCGTGTGCGTGGACTTGACCTTCTGGCAGGAAGCAGCTGGCACGAGGCAGAGGGGGGCGAGGCGGGTCTAAGTGCCAGGAGCTGTGAAACTCGGGTTGGAAGGACATGTGACTTTTAAAAACTTTTCTCTGCGCTGTTCCTTTTTTTCCTCTTTTTGCTGGTGCCGCACACCTCCGTCCCCCCAGGGCTGCGAGTCTCCCGGCCTCCACCCAGGGTCAGGGTCAGCGGCTGGGCAGCTGGTCTCCCCCTCCCCTGGGCCCTGCCTCCCTGTCTTTGGGTCCACTTGAGTCCCGGGTCCCCGTGGCTGTGGGCAGGGGGGTCTCAGCACTCCCAGAGTGCCCCCCCCGTCCTCTGCAGGGATCTCCACCCTGCTGACGGCACTGGGGCACCCCTTCTTGTCACCTTGCTGGGACAACAGGCTGCTCCTCGAACTCTCCCTGGGAAGCAGGACGTGTCCCTCTGCAGCCCCAACCCAGCACAAAGGGCCATTAGCTGGGACCCCAGAGAGTCCCCCTCCAGGACAGAGTGCCCCGCTGCCCCCAAGCTCTGCAGCCCAAGTTCAAGAGCCTCTTCCCAGACGGCTCAGACTCGCGCCCAAGGCAGAGGGTCACAGCTGCATCCCGGAGTCCCCAGGGAGGGCTCCTTCCTCCCCAGTAGCTGGGACAGGCCCCCTCCCAGGGCAGTGAGAGCCATTTGAAGGGGGGGCCACGGTACCTGCTGGTGAGAGGCGGGAAACGTCAAAGGGCGGAGACAGTGACCGAGAAACATTCACGAAGAGGTCACTTACCAGCTGGCCAGGACCCGGCGTGATGGACGGCGCGGTCTGCGGACCGGCCCTAGTCCCCGGCTCACCTCGGCACCAGGCTCAGTTCTCTGTAAAACGGGAAGGAACTCTCCCACCCACCACGCGGGTTGTTCAAGAGCTGAAGAGAAGCAGATGCTGAAGAATCTGGGTCCCCGGGCCTGGTGCCCCGCAGGAGTCGTTATTCTGAGGTGACAGGGAAGCGGTATTTGGAGATTTCCCGTTAATCACCTGCAACCTCCATTAGGAATCAATGTCAAAACCTGTGATGTTGCCGGGGAGGGTGGCACACACCTGTCATCCCAGCGGCTCGGGAGGCTGAGGCAGGAGGATCGTGAGTTCAAAGCCAGCCTCAGCAACTCAGTGAGACCCTAAGCCACTCAGGGAGACCCTGTCTCTAATAAAAATACAAAATTTGGTTGGGGATGTGGCTCAGTGGTCCAGTGCCCCTGAGTTCACCCAGGTACTCCCCCGCCCCCTGTCCTATCAGAAAAAGGGCTGGGGATGTGGCTCAGTGGTTAAGCACCCCTGGGTTCAATCCCTGGTTTTAAAAAAAAAAAAATTAGACTAAACCAGTTATAAACTGTTTAAAACCCGTGGCTCCAGTCATATTGATTATGTGATATTGCTTATTAACCCTTTGTAATTTTTATTTTTGTTTTTCTAACCTCTTGGCTGCTTTGAAGTTGAGATCACAGAGCCCTGTTCAGGGGGGGCATCTCACAGGGACAACCAAGTCCACGGTCACCGCGGCTGTTTCTCCCCCTCCCCAAGAACAGGGGCATTGCCTCTGGGGACAGCCCAAAGCTATGGCAGGTGGCTAGTGTGGCTGCAGTTTCTCTCCTGTGGAAGCCACAGAGCAGGGGACGTGTGGCAGGTCACATACCGTGAGTGCTTACGCGGCATTTTCCACCCGTGGGAAGACGGTGGACGGTACCATTTGGAAAGGTTCTGAGGAATCGTGCCGCACAGGCGCTCGGGGTCTCCTGACGCTGCTCCACGGACAACTGCCTTTCTCTCCTTTTTATGGGGACATGGACTGTCACTGGGGCAGCTTCTCAGGCCCTGGGAGACACTGTGACCTCAGATGTGAATTCTAGAGCCAGAGAAGCGGGCGGAGGCTCTGCCGTCTGGCCTGGCTGGCCCTGGGCGGAACCCCACCCCCAGCCCGTGTCCCCTCCCACACCTGGCGGTGCTCGGCACCTGTCCTGGGGACACACCTACCTCAGAGGCGGGAAGGTCAGATGAGGTCGGGTACTGACCCCTCCTTGAGGGGCAGGCTGAGGCCCATGTCACCATCCCGAGACCTGCTCAAGGTCACCCAAGACCCTGGGGAAGAACCGGGTGAGAGTCTGGGCTGTCACACCCAAACCTCAGAGCCCTGGGGGACTGTCCCCTCCTCTCAGAGCTGGGCACAAGTTCCTAGCCTGGCCTCGTGTCCTTTGCTGTCACCTATATCCCCTTCCTGTCCCCCACGGGTGGCGTCAGCTGGAGAGCATGGCTGGGAGGCCCCGGGAAGCTTTGGTGGAGCCTCAAACAGCAGGAGGACATGGGGGGGGGGTCATGAGGTGGGAGGAGCCTGAGTGGAGGCGGAGTCTGCGGTTGAGGGCGTATGAGTGCCTATGGCTGCTGTAACAAGCACTCCCAACCGCGTGGCTAGAGCACCTGAACTCACTGTCTCACGGTTCTGGGGACCAGAAATCAAGCTCAAGGTGCCAGCAGTGCTGGTTCCTCCCAAGGGCCAGGAGGGAGAATCCGTTGACACCTGTCCCCCCTTCCCCTGCCGTGAGGGCCATCTTTGGCTTTCCTTGGCCCTTGGAGGCCTTGTCCCCACCGCTCCCCATCTCTTTGTTTTGTCTGTCCAGCTGGGGTCTGGCTGTGGTGCCCAGCCTGGCCTTGAACCCTGCAGGCTCCAGCCATCTTCCTGCCTCAGCCTCCCGCGAGCTGGGACCAGCGGGACACCCTCCGCTCGGCTTCCCCTTCATCTCCCTGAGCAGCGCTTTCCCCTTTCAGCTGTCACACGGGTCATGTGGGTTTAGTCATGTGACTCACCTTGGCCAACCTGCAGTGAGCCTATCCCTAAACGGGGTCCACCCTGCAGTAGGGGGTGGCAGGGCTGCTACCTGCGAATGGAGGCTCTGCCCTTGCCTGGGGGGGACCCAATGTGGCCTGGACTCGGGGGACTTTGGTGGAGAAGAGGGGACTGGGAGTCGTAGCCGATGGGATTTGCTGATGGATGGGACGGGGACCAAGGTGACTTTGGACAACCCGGGACGTTGGGTGGGGGCTGGGGAGCGGCGGGGAGAGAAGTGGAGAGCAAGGTTTTGCAGCCAGCTGCGGCGGACACATCTGGCGTTTGCCCTGGCGTCCCCCGAGGGTCCCCCTTGTCCTGGGCTGGAGGAAGCGGGCCCTAATGAGAGGCAGCTGCGGCCGGGCGGCCGGCGCCCATTTGTTCTGCTTTCAGCATCAAAGGCCTGAGAAGTGGTTGTCCAGCCCTGAAGGCCACGGCCATCCATCTTGGAGGCTGCACTGCCAAGAAGCCGGTCCCCATGGCCAGTGCCTGCTCTCAGCCAGGAGCCCCCACCTCCCCGGCATGATTTCCTGCTGCAGCCTCAGACCCTCGCGCCCCGCCCCCCCATCCATCCCGCCAAGGGGCTCCCACACCTGACCGAGGAGATGAAAGGGCCGGGGGGCTCCTGGGGCACGGCTGGCCATCCCCAGGGTGCCCCCCAAACACATCCGATTCTATTTCATAGCAAAGAAGGGGGGCGGTTTAGCGGGATGATTGGAAGCATGAGTTCTGGTTAGA